CAGGCCTACACGAGATGAGGCAGGATAAAGAGGGATAATCCCCCTCGATCCCAAATCATTGAGGCCAATTTCTAGCCATAGAATAATGGCGCGCGCGTCTAGATTTTTTGTAGATTTGTGGTTTTATGACTGTCTTGATGTTCGATGTTCTGGATTCACTGTTCAGTCTTCTGTGGTGTATATTTCTCTTTTTTCGTGCATTTGTAATGGCACCAACGTAAGTAAAATATGTTTTTAAAAATCTTGATTCATCGCCTTGTTTATTATATATTTTTAGATGTACTTTTAATTTGATGATTGTAAGCCGTTATGTATTTGTAATTTTTATATATCTTTTATTTTTAGATGTAAAATTGATGTCCCATGATTTGTGTATTATGTATCTCATATGATTAACCTCATAAATTTGAATTATTTTTTTAGGGCTGATAAGAAGACAAAAACAGTAAAGGGTCTGCCCGCAGTACCCGAGTCTGTCTTGAAGCATCGTAAAAGGCGCGAGTCTTCGAGAGCAAGTCGTTTACAATCCGCCATCAAAAAAAAATCTGTACAAGTCAAGAAACGTAAAGAAATTTTTAAACGTGCTGAGCAATATGTAAAGGAATATAGATTAAAAGAGCGTGATGAAATCAGACTTATTCGTCAAGCCAAAACTAAGGGTAATTTCTACGTTCCTGGAGAGGCTAAATTGGCTTTTGTGATTCGTATTAAAGGGTATGTACATCAATTGGTTATTATCTAGAAATAATTCTAAAACACTTTCAGTTTGTGTAGTTTGTGGACACTTAACAGTGTGGGTTTATAAGGTCTTGGGGGGGACTGATTTTATAATCTAGTGTGACTAATATTTAAAAAAAAAGTTTGGCCTCAAGTTAATCATAAGAATTGGCCATCCAATGATGGACTTGGCGCGTGTATATTTGTTGTGGTCTTAGTCTTGGTGCTAAGAAGATAAGAGGAATTTATATAGTATAGATTATGATTTTTATAAACCCGCAAATTGAAATTTGTGTATTTAACTTCTTAATTGTATTCTGTGAGAACAGTATATTAGTGCACTGTCAGTAGTGTTTGGAATAACTGAACAATTTAAATAGGTAATTGAGTTATCAGTAATTCTCACTCAGAAAGTTAGATATCATTCATAATAATTTGATTTTTTTCGCTTATTTCTTTTGCAAGAAGAGGTAAATTTATTAGACGCCTGATCCAAATCATTAATAAGGAAACTTTGTCTGTGTCACTGCTTGGACAATGTAAAGAAAATGACAAGGGTTTACCTTCTATTTATCTTTATTTTTTTTTGTAGTGCTACAGTTAGACAACGTTAACGATTTTTCAGTCTATATCTTTAATTAAAGCAAATCGCTATAAATAAATAACGGTCTTGTCTATGGACTGTGGGTCTGCACCTGTGTTTAGTGTCTTGCATAGTTCTGTTTACATCATATTTTACCACTGAGCTACAATAACTTTTTCATCCCTTAAATCTGTAGTAGAGTTTTTACTTGAATAATCGAGATCTCAGTTATTTCAATAATTGAGTACTTGAACAGTTTTTCACCTGAATGATCACAACACTAATTGCCAGCAAATATCTGCAAAATAAAATATTTACATATTTAGTAAAGAAATTTATAAATTGCTTCAATTTATAATACAAGACAAATACATACAAAAATATACAGGTGCAGGCGGGTCTTCTTCTTCTACCGTTTGGTTCTAATCAAGTCCAATAGCACCGTGGCCTTATCAGGCCTCTTGTGCGTTCCACTGCTTTGTCTTATTCAGCAGGTAGTTTTGTCCTTTTTACAAAGTCCAAAAGTTTCCTTGCGTACATATCGGCTCCTTGCTTTCCAGATAGGGTTTTCCCATTCTTTTGGATATATTTTTTAATAAATTAGAAAAAATTAATAACGTTAAAAAGTTCAGTCAAAATTTTTTTTTCGAATTCAGTAAAATTTGGTATTGTCCATTGTTATTTATTGAGAAATATTACGTTTGTCCGTCATTAATATTAGAATATTGCTTTTTTTAATGGATCTCATAATTAACAAGCAAACTTAAATATTATTAAATGACAAATTTTATTTGATTCTGATCTAGAAAGATGGTGCTTTTTTTGCCTTCCAGTGTTTTATTAAAATATAGATTTTAATTTTTTATTACATAGTTACAAATAGCTGCACAATTTACTTCTATAATTAGAAGTATACATGTTCTGTTTTTTACTACAATTGAAGAAAAATAGAATGTAATAAATGTGAATAAATAAAAGGCTCTTTTGGAATGAATTTTATTCAAAAATTCTTTCGGTTTTGGATCGGGTGTCTAACCTCAAATCACAAATTATCTCAGTTTCTTGTTCAAATTAAATTAATTGTGAAATGTACAGCCACACTTATTTAAATCATCATTAATATATATCCATCCTCTAAAAAACAAAATTGCTGGACTAATGTGTGACATAAAATAACTAGACAAAGGCAGAGATATTAATTTAATCCATATCTATCTCACAAGTATGGTTTGCTGTTTTGGCAAACTTGGCCAAACAGAGATAACTTTATTTCTTGGGAAAATGACAAGCCGCAGTTGATTATAGTTCACCACGGTGGCAGTTTTCTTGTAAAAAAAAAAAATGCTAAAACCCATATGTGACACTCCTTTGATAAGGAACAAATGCCGCTGTTGACCTTGTCCATTTAAACTGGATGCTAAACGTTGTCAGATTGGGCAATATTGATATCTGAAGAAAGTGTTGCCAGTTCGAAATATTGAATGAACATGAACATAAAATGCTGACATACATTTATCACAATTTTCACTTAATTGATAAAGTGTCTGTCTAAAGGGGATGAAAATTAGATAAGTAATGTATTAAAATAAAATTGCTAAGTGTTTATTAATTTTTTGTTGAAATAAAGTACCTAATAACAAATTACACATATGTAATTTTATATTTTTTATATTAGGAGTTTTACTAAAATTTTGATTAATAGATTTTATGTGGTAGTAAATTCGCAGAATTACAAGTTATTTTATTAAATAGTCCAAAGGAAAATTTGGAAATTTGGACAGGGATGTTGAACTGGAGGTACATCTTTACAAAAATTATAAATGGGTAGTTACAAATACAATTATCAATCAAATTTGTTATCTAACTGAGTAATGAATATAGAAAATATGTCATTTTAGGGATAGTAAACTTCCAAAAGGTTACACTAGTTATATAAATTCGAAATTGTCACATTTTTCTATTGACATCTAAAAGAATACTTTATATTATAAAAATTTAATATTCAAACAATTTTTATAAGAAATTTAAGATATATAAAAAGTAATAATTATACAATTGTTCTTTGGGAAGCCGAAAAAAATGTATGTTTTTATTTTCTTTCTTGCATTTCCTATACTGATTTAGACATTCTTTGTAACTGCAAATAATTGTTAAAAACGCCAAAGTTTTAAAAATAAATAACTAAATCCACTGTAAACTTTTTAAAGCACTCCAATACAGCTAACGGCAACAATGTTTACAAAATGGCTATTATATGATTTAATACAATTATACGTAACGGCACTAACATAAACCAAGCGGAGATAAAACATGTTCGGAAGTATTCAGGCTTCATCGGTAATGTATTTAATTCGCAGATAAAAACCGTTCATACAAGTAGCATCATTTTATGGGCAAAATAATCAAACATTCTATTTTACTCTACAAAATTTATATATCCTTAAAGTTTTGTATTTCATATTTATTCTGTTTATTGCCGAAATAATAGTAAATCTGAAAATATCATCTTACGTTGTCAGACAGCTGTTCTGTTTGGAAATACGCATGCGTTCAGTCCCTTTAACTTGGACATATCTTCATTCGTGTTGCACAAAGTAGTCCTTTCTCTCTGTGTCGCATATGGGTTAGATATGTGCTAATATGATAGGTACATTGTATGCCAACAATCTTCCCTTGTGAATGACGTCTAACTTGTTTCTATTCCAGTGTTTGTTTTCTGTTAATCATGCAGGAATCTTTAGGGGTATAAAATTAGCATAATTTTAAGCAAAATTGAAGATAAAAATTATTTTATGAGAAATTTTGTATAATTGTTAAAAAGTAGTGAATTCAAAGATATTTCTATTTAAATCAGACAGATTCATAGTAGCTAGTGATATATTCACACTAGCTTCTTTCCATGCTGTCTAAAATTATTATTGCATTATGTATGTATGTAATATTATCGTGTTACATAATACCTTGACGCATACATATTTAAAGATAAAATGTAGGAATTGACAAACACACATTTCTTAAAGTGCACATACTTGAATATGGCCTGTCAGTCCTCTTTTACATGATTAAAGTTATTGTTGCATCACTGATTGTGTCATTTGAGTACATTGACAGCTTACTTGGGTATGTTGATAAGCCTATTGAAAAAATGGTTAAAATTTGGTGAATGTTACACCGAATGTAAATATATATTTTTTGGCAAATATTATTCACACGAAATTTTATTCTCTTCACATAATAGTGAAGTAGTACAGAAAAATTCTAAGGCATTTTTGCCAAATATTTTTTATTAATATTATTTTGTATCATAAATTCTGACGAATATATTAGAGTTATTGATTTTGAAATAATTATAATATTTCTGAGTAAGGAAAAGTTTCTAAAATGAGTTCTTTGTTATATTTTCCTGACATGTTAGATTTTTATGTTTTGTTTTAAATATTTTCCAAATATTTGTTGTTAAATACAAGATATGGTTAACAGTAAACCCAATTGTTTTTGGAATAATTGTTTTCATGTCACGGAATAGTATGACATAATCCCATGAATTATCTGTCAATTTTGAGTTATATTACAAATCAACCAGATTCGTGTAAAAAAGTTGAAATTGTTTGAAATTTAAATTAAATTTTGTTGTAACATGAACCTTAAAGTTTTAATAAATTGTAAATTGTAATGAAGTTTTTTGTTTTGAAGAATGTTTGTCTAATTATCAAAATGAGAAATTAAATGTTTGTGTTTGAAAATTCTCTCGATTTTTGTTTTTTTTATAATTTTTATTTTCTTTTAGTATAAACAAAGTTGCCCCAAAAGTACGCAAAGTTCTGCAGCTGTTCCGTTTGCTTCAAATCAATAATGGAGTTTTTGTGAAATTAAACAAGGCCACCATTAATATGTTGAGAATATGTGAACCCTATATTACCTGGGGCTATCCTAACCTTAAATCAGTTAGGGAACTCATTTATAAGAGAGGTTTTGCGAAAATAAACGGACAACGTATTCCCATTACCAGCAATCAGATTATAGAAGACAGATTAGGAAAATCTGGAATTATTTGTGTTGAAGATTTAATACATGAACTCTTCACAGTCGGCTCAAGGTTCAAATATGCATCAAACTTCCTGTGGCCCTTCAAGGTAAGTTTGATATTCAAAGGTTATCCAGATAAGTTTCGATAAATTGCGAATGTAATTTTAAATTCATAGAGATGTATTTGGTTCTACCACATGTCAGATTTCTTTCTGTTAAAATATTTAATGTATTTTAACTTTGGCCATATAAATTTTAGAGACATTTTTTTTATCTGAAATTAATATTTGACTATGTAACCAGCAGCATACATGTGGAAATTGACAACTACATTAATTTAAGAAGAATAACGATTAGTAAAGAACAAAGACTTTTTTGAAAAAAAACAAAAAATTAAAAAAATTAAAATTAGTTACTTTTAGAGTGCAACAGTTTGTTTCTTTTTGTAGTTGAATACTCCAACAGGAGGGTGGCGTAAGAAGACCAATCACTATGTTGAAGGTGGTGATTTTGGCAACAGGGAAGACAAGATTAATGAACTTCTCAGGAGGATGGTTTAAATCATACTTCTTGTTTATATAATAAATTATATAAGTTTAATTAGTTGTTTAAATATTTATTAATTCCCGTTTTTTTTTTACATACCTATAAAACAGTGTGTTTCCTACATAATCTAAAATATTTCATAGGGTGATTCTTCAAATCGTTTTATTAAAAAACTTTATATTAAGATATTTTCAAAAACCAAGGGTGTTGGTGTAGGTGATTTATAAAAATAATGTGCATCCCACGGCATATTTTTAATTTTGCGTTTTTAATAATCTTCATTCGCTATGTGACGAGAGATTTAGTTTTGGAGAAAATGCTGTTTAATTAATTTATTGACCATATATTGTATTCTTTTTTTTTTAAATAGAAAACATTTTCCCCAGAATAAGTTTCAAATGAATAAATGTTCAGCAGTCATCTTTTGTCAAGTATTGAAGGAAGATTACAAAAAATACTGCATATTATTTTTTCAAATAATTGCATGCATGTCCCTGGCGAAGTGGATGAATTTTAGTTTATATTGAAATATGCCTTCTAAAAAAAATTAAATTTCTACACCCTATATTTTGGAAAGGATGCATTTTTGGACAAATGTTAATATGAATGTTTTTTACAAAATATGAAAAATTGTTTTTAAATTGTTCCTCTGAAATACAGAGCTTTTATAAATGATGAGTCACGTGACCAGTGAGAGTAATTTTATTTTCATTAAATTTCAGTAAGATTAAAAATCCTTAAAATGGATCAAAATTACATTAAAACATTATGAAACTATTTAACCGATCAGTGATCGCATTATTTCAAGTGTAGACGTAATGGTTTGTCATTATTCATTGTAAACGAATAATAAGTATTGGTAATGTCAAGATTTAGGGATATCTACAGGGTGTTTCTAAATAAGCGCGAAATATTTTAGAGGGTGGTTGCCTAAGTTATTTTGTGAAACAAGGTTCATATAAACGTAGGTCGAAATATGCTTTGTTTCTGAGATACAGTGTTTAAATTTTAATTTTTTATTTATTTTTATTAATTATTTCAGTTTTAAAGATATTGACTTAAAAGTTGAAAAACGCATTGGATATTTATTTAGAAATCCGCCATCAATTCTGAATGAAATTACTCTTCAATTTTTTTCGTAGGATGCACCGTTTTTGAGCAAAAAAAAATAAAACTTTGTATTGCATGTTGTGTATTTTCAATTTCTATTGATACATTATCTAGTAGGTTGCTGTCAATATTTCTGAATAAAATACAACCAATAATAAAAATAAATAAAAAATTAAAATGTAAACACAGTATCTCGGAAACGAAATATATTTCGATCTACGTTTATATGAACTTCTTTTCACAAAATAACTTAGGCAACCACTCCCTAAAATACTTTGCATTTATTTACAAACACCCTGTATACTTTGTGGCCGATATTATGGAGGGTGACAATATAAACACACTTAACTATAAAGCATATAAATTATAAAATGTTTTTTATAATGGTTCAATATTATTAAATGATATGATGTGCCGCTATCTATGTACATCGATAGGATGTAGAATAGTCTATAGACTAAATTACACTGAACGTCGATCTATCTTCCTCTATCTCTGTCTATTGCACTTATAATACTTATAGGGAAATGCTTTTTAAGTTGGTGTAAACGGATGTATGTACATAGTACTTGATTCAGCTGTCATTAGAAACGTAATAGAATAAGCGTATGTGCGGAGCGCTAAATCCGTGGCTGTAATAAAATAATTTAAAAAAATACAACCGGGACGTTTTAAAACGTAGTAATAATTAAAATGGTTTGTAGTACCGGTTGTAGCAAACGATCTGTTCGTCATAAACGCCCTAACCTACGCGATGGCATCATTTTAAAGAAAACACTTAAAATTTAAAAACAAAATGTTACTAAAATATTTTTGAAGTTTTCTTGAGAGTATCTCTAAAAATAATAGAGCTATTGTCACTCTCTATAATTTCGACCGTGAAGTACAGTTAACAGCAGCAGTTGTGCAATGTTGGTTGTCTAGGCTTGGCGGTGATATAGCTTATAAACGTTTATGAAGGCTCTGTATTTTAAACTACTTTAGAAAATTGTATACAGGATGTATATAAGATAGATATTTACAATTTTCCATTTGAACAAAATAATCCCTGCTATTAATGTCTTGGATTCATAAATGCGTCGATAATTTCTGTAATTTGAAATCGGCCACTTTTTGGAATGAATCTACAAGGTATTAATCGTGCACAAACTTTAAATGGTGATTTTAAACCAAAAAGGTTATAATATACATAGATCTTCAATCGATTTTTTTCAATATGCAGGGTATTGACATTTAAGAAAAAATATATGTTGACACAGAACAGTGAAACTGAGGCTAATGCTTTATCTGATTAAATATAACAATCCACCAATGTACCAGTGGCGGAGATACTGGTAGTCACTTTCACTAAAACTCCTGAAATTCTACTGGATATTTTGAAAACACTTCTACCTCCTTATGGTGTTTCCAAGAAAAAAGATAATTTTCATTTTATTTTCGAGTAACAATTTATTATTTTTTAGCTAAGCATAACTAAGAGAAAATATATATTGTCATTTTTTGTGTGTTTCATTGAACAAAACATTTAGAATGTAAAATACGTTATTTATTGTTTATACCACCCACTAAACACGAAACGTAAATGAAACGTTGCAAATGAGATGTTTTACTAAATATTTGAAACATTAACTAGAAACGTTTCTGTTTCATTACAGAAATGTAGCACTTGAAAACTTATTTAGTGAAACATAGCCGAAACGTTACAATTGAAGAGAGTTTGAAACATTACTCGAAACATTCCCTTTCGATCTCGGAAACGTAACAACGACAAACAAACAACCCTTTGCTTTTGTTTATCTTATGGAACTTCCATTCAACTTCCATTCGGCATTAGTTAAATTTTGCTCTCAAGCCCCATCATTATAGCAAGCGTTAGTTCATTTGCCTTTGTTATATGTACAACCAGACATAAACAGAAAAAAAATTGTGGTAGCATATTTATAACACAAGTCTAGAAAAAATGTATGTTCGTGACTTGCGTAGACTGCGCGTAACAGCCCGAGTTTATTTGTTTCCCGTGTGTCGTTTCAATTCGTATTATGTTAGGTTAGGTTTGCGGTTTGTCAGTTTGCTTGGTTTCGTTGTTATTCATCTTTACTTTGACGCTATTTTATGTGATAATTTGTAGTGTGTGCAGTTGTGGTTATTGTAAGGTGCATATAAAATAATGAATATTGATGCAAAATGTTTAAAACGATATGTGTAGAGATTTCCAATTTTGCGTCACATCTACCTAAATATAGTTATACCCACTACCTATTACAGACAAGAGGACAAG